GATGTGCAACTCTGATTATTTTTATGTGTGTAAAACATTAAACAGACATTAAATTAACTAATCAAATATTATTTTGTTCCTCATTATTAGTATCGGTTGCAACCACATTTAAAGTATATTTTACGGATGTCTCAGATTATAACCGTCTTTTGTTCATACTCACGAAACAAAAGCGACATTCTTCTGAGCTCGCAGCCGCGACTCTCCCAATCGATTCGAAAAATCTGGATCATCACTTGAGGAAGTCGTAAATCAACGTCTTGTATTTCTCGAATACGGATTGGGTATGAGGCTTTCAAAGCCGGTCTCCTCGGTAGGAGGAATCGCGGGGTTGGTGGCTGAGGGGGAGCGAAAGAGACACGGAAAGAAGGACAGAAGGCACGCGCGAGGGAAGAGAGGAAGAGAGACGCGGAGGAAGGAGAAAACGGATTCACCCGTCAGTCACTCTCTGGCAGACCGCGAGAGAATCACAATGCGAGGGCCTCCCTCTTCTCACCGTCCCTCCTCGTCCTTCTGTCCGCCCGTCCGTTCGTCCGTCTGTCTGCCTGTCCATCCGTTCGTCTCTTCGTCTGCCTCCTGTCACTCTCCCCGCCAGCCTTCCGACGGTTCTCGCATCAGAAATTCATCTCCTCTCCTGTCCTCCTCCGAGTTCTCCTTTTGTTCCTTCCCTGCCGCCGCAGCCGCCGGCTTGTTATTATGTACTGTTTTATTGCCAGAACGTTGCTTAAAGTTCGACCCGATTACTTGCCTCGGTGGGCCGTGGTGGTGGCGTCATTGCCGCAGTTGCGATCGCGGGATATTCGCTCGAGATAACCATGCGCGCGAGTAGTATTACTTATCAAAGATCCGTCTCAGAAGGCGTCCCGACAACTTCGCTCGACCGACGTGCAAGAGACGAGAAATTAACTTCTTGCTCCTTCGTGAAATCGGCCAGCAAAGATCTCTTCTGTGTGATGTATGCAGCTCTATATTCTAACACGATGGTTATGTAATTACCGGTATCCACCGACGGCCTGTCTGGCAATGAAGAACGAAGCAAAAGCGGCAGCGGACTCTCGTTTATGTGGTAGCTCTCACATAGTTGATTGCATCTCGCGCGGTTTCATAGTTGATTGCAAACATCTAAATAACACATTGCATCGGCAGAAAATATAAACTTATCTTTTGAATCGGGCTTATTTGATATCTACGCTTAATATAGATTTCAAGCAGAACGACAATAAGACTATGCATTGTATTAATTAAATGTATATAGATATTAAATGTATACACAATATATATACACATATATACAAAAGAGTATTTTTTAAATATCTTTTTTAAGATATGTTTAACGTGTTACTTTAGTTAGTATCTCTTGTTTTTATTTTCTTTTAATCGCATTATGAGCTATGTTTTTAAATCACACTTATATTAATTATCTCAACTATTTTATGTGGCTTTTACAAGTGCACATGTTTTATATAACAAACAATTAAACAGACACCTCTCTCTTGCGGTATAAATTTTATTGTTTGGCGTAGATACTAATTAATAGTAAACTTAACCATTTAGTTCGTTGATTGCGCATAAATCACTTAGGTACACAAACTGACACGAGGGCGTATACTTATGCGCACGTTACAATTTACACCTTGCTAATAGCTGTAATTTATGAACATGCACTGAAGAATCTCTCTCTCAATTTTTTTATTTTGTCATTTGTAAAGGCGCGTTTTATTTTGATGACTCGCTCCGCCTTCGCGCATCTAGAATAAAATAGTTTTTTGGAAGAAAAAGTAATCTTAAGAGAATACGTTCGAAAATTGAAAAACGGAAAATAATCGATTCTTAATTTTAATCACATTAAATTAAAATTCTAGAATGTTTATACGTTGCAAACTTATTATGGTTTATAAGACTAAAGTGTGTTTACTTATATATCTAAATATAATTAATTTTCTTTAATTAATCCGGAAACGATAGATACATATTTAATTAAAATCGGCGTTCCTTTCTCTCACAAAAAATGTCGCGACTATGTAAAAGATTAGGATTCACTAACAATTAGAGCAACTGCCGATCGTCTATGTGAATAGCGAGCGTGACTACCTGACTTGTTGTTCAGCCTTACGGCTATAGCTCGCGGAATAGCTAATATCGTCGCGGCACCAGTACCAGTTAGCCATTGGTACATTACCAGCATGTGCATGCCAATATATGCAGGTGTTAGCTATGTATATCCCGTAGCTCGTGCGCAGGTTTGTCGTGAGAGTAACCGAGGGAAGGCACGACAAAAGAGCAAGAGAAAAGCAGAGAATGCACAGCGACATACATTTGTAAAAGAGAGTGGAAAAGAAAAGCAGAAAAAATCAGGCAGATCACCTAACGGACTAGAAAGCGGATGCTCCTCCGATAAGACTAATTATTGTTGTGGACCAAAGTCGTAGGCGGATATTGGCGCAGAGCCATCGCAAAGATAGCGCGCGATCCACTCTGTGCACTAATACACCACGCTTCTTTCTAACGTGTGTCGGTTCGAATGAGTCAAGGACAGGAGGAACGCCGTAGATATCGGCCGGTAGCATCTCGCCGAGTGTCAAGAGACTCGGCCGCTTTTAAGCTCAGTAAGCCACGCTCATCGTTCTCGATCGGCGTATCTCACCCGGCGACTACATCCAGGATATGCAATCCGGTGCGGTCCTTGTTAGCGGTCTACCAATAGGCCCGCACGAACTCCGCTCCATGCGAGTATTTGCATCGTACAGAATCCGATGTCGGCATCCTATCGATCCTGATCGCCATACTTTCGAATCACGGAATCCTTATGATCTTTGTCATTAAAGTTGAATAGCATGTACTTTGTTTTTTTTATTAAAGGATTCCAATGATTATTAATAATGAATGATATACTGCAACTTCATAATACAGTAAACAAACTGTCTGTATATATAAAATTGTTTAAAAAAACCTTAAATACACAAATTAGCTAAATAATAAGTTAATCGTATATAATAAGTGAGAGATGTTGTCTTGTCGCGCCTTTTCAAGTTCGATAATTTTACTATCTACTTATCGTCATACATTATATATGAAGATTAGAACACCATGTGTTCTTATGAAACGAAGCAGCGGTCGTTGAAATCTCTCACTAGAAGACAAAGGTGACGTCGCAGAGCTACGGTTGCGATCGAAATTTCGGAACGGCATCGCTTCGGAGTTTAATTCTATTTCGTGAATATGAGATGAGAACAGATCGCGAGAAAGGAAACCGAAATGAGCGACACGCAAATGCCAAATTCTACAGAACTTCGACAAGCGAGGGGAACCAAAAGGGTTAAAAGACTGTGTTCGTGGCGGGCGGGGCTGTTCTCTGGTGGTCCGCCCGCTCGCTTCCTCGACTTCTTGTATTCCCCTCTTCGATACGTGCTGGATCCGAGCGATCCTCCTTTTATCTCTCGTCGTCGCCCCGTCGTTTTCTCTTCGCCGTGCACCTATCGTCCTGCGGCTGGTCTCGACCGGATCGGCCAGCCAGTCGCCTTCCATCGAATGGTCCGCGCCGGGGTCCCGCAGAGTCCGCTTTGCTGTAGAGACAATGGACAATGGGGACATAAATCTGCGTAATTAGTTGCTGATGCTCCCGCGGATCAATGTGCGATCTCTTTTCTCTCCCTCTTTCGTGGCCTGTCCGCGAACAAACGATCGTTTGGTTGGTCACTCGGCAAAGTAGGACGGTGCTCCTGGTTGTCCCCACCCTCTACAAGGGGAGGTGTGCTGACCACCTTCCGCCTCTTTCGCCCTGCTCGCGTTTAGCAGGCGATTGCTCGCGACCGAGGACACTCGGCACTCCCTTTTTCAAAGAGGATGTGCCGAACAAGATGGCGACCATGTGAGTTCATGTCGAGCATTTTGGGCCCGTCGAGAGCTTATTTTTATTGATTGTCAGAAAGCTGCACATAGCAGTAATTTGATGTGATCTTTTGACACATGCTAATTTAATATGCAGATTGTGTTTTGAAAAAACCGCACAGTAATTAGTTGTCATAACATGATATTAAAGAAATGTTAGAAAAAAATTGTGCGATGTAATTTTTCCAAATATCTTGTGACTATCGTTAGATCAAGTCTTTGACGCATAGTTACGGTGACAACATCGCACCATTTATTACGAAAGGTTCAAATGGAAACGATTTGATTAAAACTCATAATACAGATGATGGAACTCCTTGTCCCACCAGACAATACTCGTCGACGACAACGACGTATCCGACATAGCTCGCATTTTCTCTTTCTTCCCCTTCTCCTCATCTCTTTCTCTCTCTTCCTCTCTTTTGGGGATCGTATTCGTCGCCATCGTCGTTCTCGTCGCCATCGTCGTTGTCGTCGTCGTTGCCGTCGCGAAAGGCTGATAAATGAACCGATAGTGCCATTGTGTTACTCGCCATCTAAACCTTTATATCATTCCTAGGTACTTAGCTTCGTCATTTCTCAGTATCTCCACTCGTAGGTCGTATGTTCTTCTCTGCTCTTCTATCAAGATACGGCGAATGACAGAAGGATTTGATTCGCGTCCTACATCAACGATCTCCACGAAGAAAAGACGATACATGATATCGGTGTCGTCAACTGATACTTATTCGCGTTTTATTTCTTCAGTTTCTGACTTTCTTGATCGCGAATCCTGAAATACAAGTTTGCTTATCTGTCACGTAATGGGATTATACTAGTAGCAATCTTTTGCTCTCTGTAACAGTCATTTCATACTTTTGACACATCTTATCTTTGTAAATGCAATAAAAATTCAAATGATAGGTTAACGAAATATTATTTAGACTGGTAAGTTTTATATTTTTTTTATGATGATATTATGGTAAAATATTGGCATTATTTGTTATATATATATGTATAGAACACGTAGTTATTTTATAAAATGCGGCATGTTAATATAGAGTAGCTTTCCGCATAGCTGCTTTTGCGATTGATAACGACGATTAATCCGTTTGTTTGATGATTTGTTTTAGGGGAGGACGGCGTCGAAGGCTCTGCGCCCGGTACAGACCTCCAAGGTGAGGAGGGCGATTGTGTAGACGAGGATGGCCCTATTAGCCCCAGCGAAAGGGGCTGCGCGCCCGCAGGAGCAAAAGAGGACGACGACGGCGAGGGAACGGACGAGGAAGACGACGAGGAGGCATCGCCACCTACACCGCCGCCTTCCGCTACCTCGAGGTTAAACCCTACTATCCTGAGAGACACAGGACCTCCGGACAGGTAGATATTTTATTTATATAATTTTTCTATATAATTATTTTATCTTTATATAATGAATGATTCATTTGAAAGACTGTCAATGTTGATTTGATTACAAATAATTTAATTTTATTGACTTTCTACATTTTTCGGTTTACATAATCCTTAATTATTATAGAACTTACTTAATTATTAGATTAATTTTTTTATTTAATTAATTATTTATTATAGGGTAAGTTTATTAAGAAATTTTACATATATATATATATTGAACTCTTTATCAACTGTCGTAATTATACAGTCATTTGAATTTACATATGTCTTGATAAATAAATTTATACTTGATTTATATATTTTACTCGATTAACTCAGGCACTTTGCTGAAGACGATCCTAATTTCTGGGATCAAAACGTCTAATTTAAGACAAATAATAATTAATATTTTCTACCATGCTATGATTTATTGGCTCGTACTGATTCTTCTATTCAATTTTCAAAACTTTCGTAATTAACTACAACAAAAAAACTGATTACAATGAGAAAATAAAAAACTATCTAGTAATACGTAATGTAAACACTTAAAGATACCATTTGTAGTTTACAAGTTTAAACTGCCATAAATAGTGATAACTTTTATTCGTCAGCATAAACTTATCCCTGTATATCAACTTTCCTCCGTCTCTCCCTTGCACATTTATCAGCGCCTATATATATTTATGCCTATATACATACGCTTCCGCCTGCGTGTCTTCACACACAAACACGAGGAAACGCAAAGGAGACGCTCGACATCAAACATTTCTCGTGTATAACGGACCGGCACGTGCAAATCAACCGCAAATAGTCGGACAAGAGAGTAATCTTTCGGCACGAATCACGCTAGGGTCGTAAAAGCGACACGCGTAATGGCGAACGTAACGTAGAAGCGCGTTCCTAAACTTCGATCAACATTGTCTGTTGGAAACTCATTAGATGGTGCTTTATCGTAGAGTGGGGAATGCTTTTTATAATAAAGCGTGTAAATCATCACGAGCCGCGCCGACGCGACACCGCGAAGCTTTGATGTTCGCCGTAGTCAGGCGCCCCTCGTGTGTACACGGTATGTCATTGTTTAAGAGCAACAAATCGTCACGGATTTCTCCGTCTCTCCTTCTCTCTCTCTCTCTCTCTCTTGTGTGTACGCGAAGTAAAGCGTCGGCGGCAGGGTTAAGCAGCGAACGAACAGGCGGAGCGAGAGTGAGGCCCGGATAGGGATAAATAAGCCGGTGTCAGAGTTGATATCGGTTGCTGCCGCGCGCGACGTCACACGGCTAATAGAGATAGGCACGTGTTACACATCGTCCCGGACCGACCGACCCCACTAGTAGCTGCCTCCGAAGCGGGGGCGGCGGTGGCGCTCCCGCCTCTCTACGCCCGCGCCTCGCCGCGCCGCACCGCACCGCACCGCGCCGTCCCGCCAGCCCTCAAAAACTTCCCCTGCATGCGTGGCAGTGGTCCCCTTTCATCTCGCGGCACGCATTCGGCATTCAGTCAGGAACAGTCAGTTACGAGCGAGCCGTCGACAAGCCTGGAACGACGCGCTGCGCCGCGCCGTGCATCAGCATCGCGTCGAAAAGCCGAGGGTTCAGCCTGCCATCACAATAGCCGTTGTCTCTAATCGTTCCAGCCACGTGCACACCACCGATAGTCGATCTTCGCGCGCGTTGATGACGTTGCTACAGGTATCGATCGCTTCTGTAAACCGCAACTTGGACTAAACCGCGCGGTTTTTTGTTGCCACGCGGATGACTAACGTTCATCATCGCAGCGTGTAATTAATCGTAATTTGTCAAGGGTCCGTTACGTCGCGAGTATTATCGTTGAATATCCAAGCTGAGGCACGCTCACAACCGATGCACGTATATCAAACCAACAAATAATTTATCGTAAAGTGTATTTTCGTTTTCGATGTCGATAACACGCGGTAATAGTCTGTTGTACGTCTGTCGCGTATATTTGCACGGTACATTTATGGTGTGGTGCGTGCTCCCCCGTGTACATGCTAGCAACGACAGACGTTTTCAAGCGTGAATTATCCATCGCTGTTACCATCGTGCAACACGCCAGCGTTCCTAAGCTCTATCTATCACGCGAGTCTTTTTTTCCCTGCTTACTTTTACCGATGATTCCGGGTATCCGTCGTTTCCATCATATAGTATGGCGAAAGCTGTTTGCGTAGTAATTCCCGTGGTGGACGGTTATGAAATATTAACATCACGGCGTCACCTGCGTTATGCTTGAGGATAGGTTACAAGAAAATTATCGCACGATTATCATGATTAATGATCACCATTCGGCTGCAAGTTTCTCCAAATGGTTTCGTACTTTTCGCAAAACTCTGATAAGATTTATTTCATTCATCATATCCACGTCAAATCATAAGAAGATCTCAACAAAGAGACACGCGCGTCCGCGTGCATTCTTAATATTTATTTATACCGAGCATCGGTGTCATTTGCAATTTTCAGGGAGCCAATGAGTCCGCGCTGTCCCTCGAGAGATTCTCGGGAATCGTCCGGTCCGGCGACCGGAAGTCCCCCACCACCCGCTACCAGAAGCAGCACGAGTCCGGTCAGTCCAAGTAGTATCGTGCCTCTACCCCTTGGAAGTCACCCCTTGCTACCTCCCCATTCTGCAGCGGTCATGGCAGCGTACCTGCATACTCATCAGCGTCTTCTTCAAATCGGCACTTCGCCCTTGTCGCGTAGTTCGGTGTCGCCTCTAGTTTCTTCCTCATGTTCGCCACCAGCAGCGACGCCCGGTCTTCTGGTATCACCCAGTAGTATCGGAGAAGTCTCGCCGTCAGCGACACCACTGCCGGCTGTGCTAGACTTCAGCACGAGGAAAGTATCCTCAGCTGAAGAGGACGAGGAAGAACAGATATTAAATCTCAGCAAACCGCCAACGCCTTCCTCGACAGAAACGAATAACGGTCCGTTGGATCTTTCAGTATCCAGTAGAAAAAGACCCGGTCCTGAAGACTCCCCACCTCCACCACCGCGCAAATCGTCAAGATTGGCTTCCTCTACTAGTTCTGCGAGTCATCAAGAAACGGCACCAGGAGTTGCACCATCCAGCTTTGGTAGGCCACCCGTGGTGTCCCCTTGGTCGTCCCCGGTGGTTGCTTCACACTTTCCGTATTTCGCTGCAGCGGTAGCGGCAGCGGCTACTAGTCAGCAGCAGCTTTCACCGAAAAGCACAAGTGGCGTGGTGGATCATCATCAGCTTTGGAATGGAAAGATGAAGCCGCCGGCAGTATTGGAGAAGTCGTACCAACCTAGCGAAGCTACGAAAGCACTCGAGAAGATGAGCGAGCTAAGTAAACTCGGTGGTGAGGATCTTTTCAGATCGTCTTCCACAGGCGGTGCTGCCGTAACCAATACGCCGGCGACAACATCCAGTAGTCGTCATAGCGCTTGGCAATCTCATTGGTTGAACAAAGGAGCCGATCAAGCGAAAGATGTTCTGAAATGTGTGTGGTGCAAACAGAGTTTTCCTACTTTAGCGGCCATGACAACACACATGAAAGAAGCAAAGCACTGTGGCGTTAATATGCCAGTACCACCTCCAGCACCGGGAATTCATTCGCAACAGACTACCATGCAGAATATACCACCACCTCAACCACACCAACCGCAGACTTCCACTAATAACACTGGCAGCAATAATTCGGCGACACCTAGCAAACAAAATCCATCCGATTTGAATCTCTTGATCAAGGAAACTATGCCTTTGCCAAGAAAGCTAGTGCGAGGTCAAGACGTCTGGTTAGGCAAAGGAGCCGAACAAACACGACAGATTCTGAAATGCATGTGGTGCGGACAGAGTTTCCGCTCGCTGGCTGAGATGACTTCGCATATGCAACAAACGCAGCATTACACAAATATTATCTCTCAAGAGCAGATAATATCTTGGAAGTCGTCGGACGAAAGCAAGGGTTCTAATACTACCGGTTCCACTGGTGGTAGCGCAAGTGTCACTAGCGGTGGGAGCAACGCAGGAGTACAACCGGGCGGAGGATCAGGACCTCATGGCGGAAACAATGGTGGTCCTGGTGCCGGCGCTACAAGCAGCCATGTTAGCGCCGTGCTCACTTGTAAAGTATGCGATCAAGCTTTCACTTCTTTGAAAGAGCTGAGTAATCACATGGTGAAAAATTCACACTATAAAGAACACATAATGCGTTCGATCACCGATAGCGGAGGACGTCGTCGACAGACGCGGGAGAAACGGAAAAAATCACTGCCCGTGAGGAAATTGTTAGAGCTGGAACGTGCGCAGAATGAATTTAAAAATGGCGACGCTGCTACAGGTATGACGCATAATCTCGGCAAGCACGCTGGCAGAATCACCTGCGAAAAATGCGGAGAGAAGATTGAAACTCCGCTCTTTGTTGAGCACATACGTCAATGTATCGGCGCAGGTACAGTAGGTGTCAATCAAAGGAACTTTCTGAAGAATGCGCTAATGTCCAATCATTTACCTGCGACGTTACCACCAACCGAGAGCGGACGTAAAAGTGTCAGCGAAGAAACGTCTTCGGTATCGTCAAGGCACCATCGATCTCCTTCCTCCGCTAGCGACGCGACCACACCCGGAAAGGACACTCCTACATCAAACACCAACGAATCCACTGCTGCAATAGGTACGTCGCCGTCAGTTTTGAACGCAATTGAGAAACTTATTGAAAAAAGTTTCGATTCGCGAGTAAGGCATGGAACGCCCGGTTTGCATCATACTCAACCAGGTGCACCTATGGGCACTAGTATTCTCAAGCGTTTGGGCATTGACGAGAGTGTGGATTATACGAAACCTCTGGTGGATCCGCAGACGATGAATCTACTCCGATCCTATCAACAGCAGCATCAACAACAGCATTATAATGTAAATGCCGTGGCAAGAAGAGAACGAAGCGGAAGTGAATCTAGTTCAATATCGGAAAGAGGTAGCGGCAGAACGGATACGATGACACCGGAAAGACGCTTAGATCTTTCTACTACGAGTCACGAAAGACATTCGAGCTCTCTGCCTCATCATCATCGCGTTACTCCAGAGAAGCAGACTGCCCCATTACCTAGTCGCCATCATCCAGCCACAGAAGAATCCGGAGATGAAGAGTCGTCTACCGTGGTAGTGAAAAAAGAGCCGAGAGACGAAGAGACAGAAGAAAGAAGCACCGTTGAAGAGGAGCAACAGCAATCACAATCGACAAGGGAGGTGTTTGTGAAGAAGGAGATAGTGGACGACTGCAGGGACGACGAGGATCAAAGTTCCTACAATCACCGACGAAGCAGCATCCACGATGCACCGGAGGACGGGCGAGAAGTTTTGTCACCTCGCATGAATCCACCTACACCTCGACCGACCAGTCAAGTGGAGCAAGTCGCGCGTAGTCCCTGTAGAAACAGCACTAGCAGTCCTACAAGCAGCGACCGATCGGTCACGCCACGCGGAACGCCGGACACCAAGGCATCCAGCAGTCTTGGAGCTCTTTCTTCTATGTTCGACAGTTTATCCGGAGGTGGCAGTGGAGGTGGTGGTGGTAACGTCGATTCGCAGGGACGTAAAACCAGTAGTCATCCCCTCGCGGCATTGCAGAAGTTATGTGACAAGACGGAAACGCGAGGTTCCAGCGCTAGTGGAGCTTCACGATCTGGAAGTAGTTCAGCAGCTGCAATCGGTCCAGGAAGTAGTAGCACCGTGGGAGTGTCGGGTCCAGGTCCTGGACCGACACCGGGTGCCATCTTGGCTTTCAGTTGGGCTTGTAACGATGCTGTAGTTACCGCCGATTCGATTATGAAATGCGCATTTTGCGATACGCCTTTTATATCAAAAGGTGCGTACAGGCATCATTTGTCCAAGATGCACTTCGTCAAGGATGGCGTTATCCCGGATCCGCTAACCATTGGTAGATCGGCCGCAGCAGCCGCGGCTGCTGCAGCCGCAGCGGCGGTCTCACAAGGCACTTCTGGTGGACCGAGTCGCAACTCGTCGTCGCCACCGACGTCGCAGCGCAACAAGTCGCCGCCTCTTCCACAGGCAAACGGTAGCCCGTCGCAGTCAGCGGCCTCGCCCCTCGAGGAGAGCCCGCACTCCAAATTTCTCAAGTATACGGAGCTGGCAAAGCAGTTGTCCAGCAAATACGTATAGTCCGAGCCCCGTAAGTAGCGGTGCCACTTGTACATAAGTGTATCTATACTGTTATCATACCTGTAACTAGCGATGTGATTGAAAAGAATTTTTTCAATCCTTCTTTTCTTTTTTTCTCCGCGAACATCCGCCGCGCCGAACGATGTCGCCCGCACAATCGACGTCTTCGAATTTATGCTTAAAGAGGCTGTGTCGTGGCTATACCGAAAATGACAAAACACGATCGATTTTACACGCACGTAAAATTATAGACGTGTGTATAAAATAGTTGAAACGGTGCGTATTATTGTCGTTCATAAAACGAGATTAATTACACTAATATTTGTAGTTATGATTATCGATTTTCTTGATTTAGATTTCTGTGTGGATTTTAGATGTTACAAAGAATTTTTCAATGACTGTTAAGCGTGTGAAAATATTTAGATGTACAAATTGGTCGCCGTGAAATGGCTTGTGCCGACAAATAATTTAAACAAGTGATCGACAACAATTGACATTTTACTTTGATGATTCAATGTGCTTTCGATTTCGAGAAATTTCAAAATATTCAAGTTTATGAGTCTGTAAAATCTAAATTTGTACATCTACTAATTTATATGCGTATTTTTTTACAAAAATGTAAATATGAAAAATAACTGCCATTATTTTCACATACTCTTAAGAGTTCAATTCATCGTAATTATGTCGATTTTACTCCTTACGAACCTCTCTTTATCAATATTTTACAGTCACTTTTTCGCGATTAAATACAAATAGACATAAATTTAATTATAAATAAATTTATAACTGTATAACGCTATCATACGCTATAAACAGTTATAAATTATTACTACAGGTGGTAAGCCTCGCCACTGCGCTCTTTCAGCCTAAATGTGGGTATCTCCGTCGAAAAGACTTCGCCGTTGCGACGATATTATTACAGAAATTTCATTTACTTTTGCGGAATAAATGCTATCAACATAGCTTTTTTCTATTTTTGATGATCGTTTTAAAATTGTCATCGAGGACACATCGTATCATTCCTGGGTTGACAACACGAATAGCGTGCGCAGTACGATCCTTTGAAAATTAAAACTTGCTTTACCGAAGAGAGGTCTCAAATTCCGTTTTATATACTCCTCTACTTTTTTACACTATTAATCCTTCTCTTTTTTGTTCGCGTATTTATTCAAGTTTTTAATTGTTGTAAAAAAAATATGATCTAGTAGATTTGCGCGCGCAATCGTTTGGAATGTTTTCTTCTCTCCATATATCGCATGAAACATTTGAAATCTCGAGAGGGAGTTTTCCGTTTCTCGCGGAATTTTTCCTCGATCGTAATCTCTATGGGAATAAAAGTCTAAGACAGAACGCGCGTAACTTCGTACAATCGACATTTCGTATCGTTAAGACTTTTCCCGCGTCATGGTTTTGCCTTCCGTTTCTCGTATTCCTCTGTCGGTCTTTATGAAAATTAACGAATTCTATTGGTGACTCTTACTTTCTTTTGTGTCCAATGAACGTATGACGATGATATGCATGTTGAACGAGCGTTAATTAAATTGTGATGCCACCATATCTCGCGGCACTGCTGAGTCACGGGGCTCGGCACGCGGCCAAGTTTGTGATTTTATAAATACTTAAGGACGTTTATATATATATATATATATACATACATATATATATGTATACCGTGAGATAAGGAAGATCGCGTAAGACAGAAAGAAAACTGCAAAAATCGGTTAGAGTAGAAGAGAGTGAGAGAGAGGGAGAGAAAGAAAAACAAAAAAATAGAGGAAGAAAAAGAAAACGAGAAAAAAGAAAAAGCTTACCTATCACCTGTCATAAGATCGTCAGCATGTATACCTCTAGATTGTAAGGCCGTAGTTTCTTAGTGCATAGGATACGTTGGGGTTAATCCCTGTATAGGAATCTCTTTGTTGATACTTATTACTACAAAAATTCGGTGAGTTTTGCTCGCGGAGACGGACAAGAGCCGCCTCGAATAGAGCGTTACGACTGCTGCAAATCGAAGATGTAAAGATAAACGAGCGAGTGTAGAATCCGAAGGATACAGAGACGCGGTGCAATAGCGAAATATGCGATTAATTGAATAAGTACGTGTGAATTGAATACGTGATTGGAAGAACGGAGAGTGAGGGAGAGAGAAAGAAAAAAAGAAACAGTGTGTGTATGTGAAAATGAAAAAGAGAAAAAGAGCGTGTGTCGTCGAAGAACGTTGATTTTTTCGACGTGACGTATATGTGTAGATCATTGTAAATTTTCTTTGTTCAAATAATATTTATTGCGCCGAGAGAAAGAGAGCCAACGTGTCATTTTACATGTAAAATATTGTCATTATTATCACTCGAATTATCGCGAATATTGTGTATATTGATTATAATTACAATTATTATATTACGATGATGCGTGGCGGAGAATATAGTGATAAATGCGGAGTTACGGGGCGCAAGTGGATCAATCGAGAGGATGAACGATGATGACGATGATGGTGATGATGAGAGAGTGCGTGAGAGTGTGCATGAGAGACGTGAAAGACGGAAAGATAGAATGACGGGAAAAGATAAAGAATGCGGAATTTTGAAAGCAAAGGAACAGATAGAAAAAGAGAGCAGCGTGTGGCCCACAACAACCGACGGCCAGAAAAGAACGGAACATACTTGTATACGTATTTCTTGTAAACTCTAATTCTTCCATCGCGGACTTTAAAAGTATTTATCGACATAATAATATTAATATTATTATTGTAATATTATATACGACTGCTGAGAGTGTGATGAACGTAACATAAGAAGATTACGTGGCTGCGACCGACATACAACATACACGTACACGACATACCTTACATACGTAAAAAAAAAGACACGCACACGTTTGTCGCAGCAACACTCGAGGAAAGGAACAGCCAGCCGTACGAATGATACGCTCGAAACGTACCTACCTACTTACAAACACGCAACCACAAAGATATGCATCATGTATACGCGACTCTTGAAACCATTTTACCAGATTTGTCATTATTTAATTATTTCGGTTGTATTTTAAAATGCAATTAAAGCTCAAATAAATATATATGTTATAAACTAAACAACCGTACTTTATATTTTACTTCCTGTTCCATTTCGAAATAGAACAAATCAAGCAATAATTTTGTGTAAAATAATGTCATGTCAGAGAGTAATATTATTTTTCGTAAATACTTTGAGATATGATTTTTGTTTTAGTTGAGGTATAATTTTGTTTAGTGAAGAGATTTATGTATATTTAAAAATTCTTTTTTTTTTGTTTTTACTAAAGAACATTGTGTCGAGTTTATGTAGCTTTTTTCGACATATGGAAATCTAACTAACCATCTGTAGCTAACAAGTTCTCCAATTGTTGAAGAAACGAACTATCGGGAGGTAAGTCTAAGCGACTTGCACACAAGTTGTGCAACTACCGAAGATTTTACATACTTGTTTTACAGACAACTAAAATCAGATGCACGTTCTAGGTAATTCTTGGTAAAAAGGATATTTTCTGATCGCGGTAAGTATCAATTTGAAACAATTTGTCACCAAGACAAGTCTTTAAGTCAGCAACTGACCGTTCGATCATTAAATGTCTAACTAATAGCATGAAGATTTTCGCTATCAGCGCGCGATCGTTAAGTGTGAAACCACTTTTCGCTTTCTTTCGACGAATGCCTGCATTAATTAGAAATACCGGTATTCGTCTACGTTTACTTCGTACGGCTTATCTCCTCGCTTTCTCGAGAAGATGGCACTCGAAATTTACGCCCGTGAATGCAAAAAAGAGAGAGAGAGAGAAAGAGAGAGTGTGTGTAAGAGAGAAAGCTACAAGATCCTTAATATAGCGGAGAGTCCGGAGTCCGCGTGCACGCTCGCTAATTCGGTGCCATACAATACCGCATCGAATGTACCGCATCAGTATCAAAACTCACCCCCGCGTATGTTAGCCGCAAAGAATAGACACGCTCGGCGGATAAACTAGATAAACCGGCGACTCTGTATACCACATTACGAGCGCACAATTTCGCTTATCAGCTTGGAGACGTTTCGCGAGATATCATCTCCCTCAAGGCCGCCGCTCGCCTTCGGACTCTCCATTGAATCCAACGAATTCCCCGATCATTCCGTCCCTCTCCCGCCTTACCTTATCCGCGCTAGCTGGATTCGCGCGTTGTTTTTTCGTCTGTTTTTCTTTTCGCCATTTGCGGTGCATAATGACGACTTCGAGTCGCTGGATGGTGGTCGTCAGCCAGCAAATCACGGTGAAGGTCGGTCCGCTGAAGAAGTCGAAGGGAAAACGGTGACAGAGGGGGACATCGCGCGAAGATACGGACAAGGAAGCGGGAGGGAAGGTGAGTAGGGAGGTTGCGGAGAAACCGGTCGGCCACTACTCGTTCTCTTCATAAGAGATACACCGCATGCCGCAGATACGCGGATACTTTTATTTTAACCGTAATGCGCTAATGAATTGATACAGCGCCGAGCGCGGCTTCCTCCCGTCCCGCGCGCCTCTATTCTTTATTTTACTCCGCTTGCTTGTTCCGCGAGGTAGAATCGGCAGTTGTGATGCAGTCGCGATCTTCTCTGAGCGACTTATTCCGGAACATCGACTAATGAACGTTCAGTTCTGAAATAAAGCGATTGGCAAACATTTTCAGATGTGTGAAACATTTCTTCGATTATATTTGGTTAGTACGCTTTCTGTAAAATACATTTAAATTATATGTATTTTAACGTAACAAAATACATATATATATATATATATATATATATATATATATATACATACATACATATGATATATAATTAAAACATAATATTGTAGAGGAGAAGATAGGAATATGAGCATGTATAATTCGAGATAGCAAGATGTAATTGTGATCTTTTAGTAAAACATTTTATTATATAATACAGTAATTTAATATATTAATATATAGTAATTTATTTAAAATCATTTGTAACATATATGTAGAAAAAGAAATTTTAAATTATAAAATTCAAGCATGTGGTATAATTAAAGTAACTCTCGAACGCTCGAACGTTTGATTTATTACACAGAAATATTGAAGATGGTAAAAATATTTCGGTGAACGTTTATAGACTTATATAAAATATTTAACAAGAAACACTTTTGACAAACGTTTGCCCGAATTCGAAGGTAAAACCGCAAAGCGAGCGGAGTTTTAGCAAAGGAAATCGTAAAAGAGGATTTGTGAAGGGCGAAAAAGGGAGTCGATGAGGCCAGCAAAATCCAAGAAGAGAATGAGGGGAGGGAGGTAAGACGGATGGGTAACGGTAACGATAAAGAATTTAAATCTTGCTCTATCTTAGCGAGCGCCCAATAAATCCTCGATAAGACTTGATTCCACGAATCGGGCTATTAAAGTCGCTGCGCGAACGCTCGATCACCGGAAGTCGCCCGTTACTACGGTCAACGGGGCATAATTACTCAAGCATAATGATTGCGGACCGCCGACCCGAAAGAAGGCAATTGAATGATATTCGCGGGGCACTAAAACGCTGCGTTTCGATAATGCGTTTGCGGCGGGAAAGAACGACGGTTATCGTCGCGCGCGCAATTGCGCGCGAAGATAGCCACGATATACTGTAACAAAAACCGTCGATCGAGCGTACACGCTCTTGGTAATCGCCAGTGCATTCAATTTGAATCGGTGCATCGCCTCTGATTTCCCTATCTAAATCGCCGGGTGCATCAGCCGGCGCATCAATTGGGCGACGTTATCGTAAACATAGAACGTACATATACACACGCCTGATCGGGGCTCGAATTCGATCGATCGATTCGAATAATAATTGCGAAGCGACTGATCTCTTCGGACTCCGAGGCAATTGGAGGTGAGGGGAATAAGTCACCCGTTCAAGACGGGAAACGATGAAGAAGTGTGCCTCCTCGCATACGGTGAACGTCGGAGAAAAAAGGAAAGACGAGAGATCGAGTAAAGTATATATAAGATAGAAGGACGAGAAGAGAGGCGTGAATGAAGGACGGAGGGAAGGGAAAGGTAGATAACTGATGAAGAGAAAGAGAGAAAGAGAGAGAGAGAGAGAGAGAGAGAAGAAAGAGAAGAAGAAAAGAGAGCTTACGGACTTCACTTACCTATTGCCCGGGGCTGGTAATGAATTCGTCTAATGGGTCGTAAAGAATGCGATCTTATGGAGCGGAGAGGATAAAATAAAATATCACCGGAGCGGCTACCGATTCTCGAACAGCCCTAACCCTCGCCTTAAAGAAACGAGCCCTTATTCCTGCCAATGGTATTTAAACACTACCGCTGATACGCAATCGCGTCGATGAGGACTACTGTAATGTAAGAAACTCGTTTTTGTTATCTCTCGATGCAGATGAATATGTAGACAATATCAATATTGCTTCAATATTTTTTATAAATATTTATAACAATGCAAAACCTAACTCTCTAATATTCTCTGTGTGTGAAAATTTATATAAAGTTATTCTCTAAGATTCACCGTCAGAAATTGAAAGATCGAATCGGTAATTCTTCGGCGATTGGTCCACCGATGAACCCGCGCAGGTCTTCTTTTCTCGAGCTTGCAGGATCGTTCTTCTTTGTTTTCTCTATACCCTCACATTCGACCATCGTCTAGGCGAATGTCCCTCCTCTGTACTTTCCGTCTCATCCTTGCATTGCAATCCGCATCCGCGTAAGCGCAGTTCGTCTTGAACACATCCCGACGTTTCTGTTCTTTATGTGCACTACGCCAAGAGCTATGGGGATCCTAGTTACTATCTATACCGTCGGTGACTTCTCTTTCCCCTCACTCTTTCTCCGTGTTCACAAGTACCACCGTCGTTGCCGATTCCCGTGTCCCTTTCCGCCACCGATGGGTATATATGGGTACCGGATATCCATCGGAGTCCAACGACCCCCCTCGATTTCCCCGCTCGTTCTCTGTATGTCTGCTCTGGCACACATACATGGTCTCTTTCCCTGTTCCCCTCTCTCTCTCTCTCTCTCTCTCTCTTTCTCTCTCTCTCTGACCGATAGTCCCTCCCTGAGCATTCGCGATGTTCGAAAGCGAGAGCAGAGGCATTAGAGAGCCACCAAAAACCAGGAGAGATCCGACGATAGCCCAAGATTTGTAGCGGTCGTGGCCGGCCGATAACCAGCGTGCGCTGGTTGTCCGTGTGCGAAGGACCGTTCATTCCATACCCACTTCATGCCCGGCCACGTCGATGACATCGAGGCTTAATCCTTGCCTAGTGGTCATCCTATAATACGTAGTTATGTCGCAGGGGAATCGACGACTATCGTGCAGCCGCTCGTGCGCCTGACTCGAATCTCCAGCCCTTGCGAATGTCGTTTATGGTATTCTGTATGAACGACAACTATATATCAGAAGCAACTAAGTTTCAGAAAAAAATAAAAAGTGCACAGAAGAAGCGTATGTTATTCAAATTCTTGCACATTTTTATACGTAATATATACTTATTATCTATATTTTTGTCTATATAATGAAATATCACACAAATTAATTAGATACAAACGATCTCGCTCTTATAAGAATGGCGACACAATACGTGTGTCTTTCTCTTTTTGTCTCTGTTTTCTTCGAACATGTCATAGTGTAAAATTCATAAGGACTTATGACGGATATTATCTTCGCTACCTTACATATCGACATCGGACAGCGGTCCGAGTTCTCCGCGTCAATACGACAAAATTCAGAGAAGGCGCGCTGACTGCCGATCCGATTTCAAAAATGGCAAAGACAAGAAGACCCAGGTGTTTTTTCGACGAGTTCGTCGTTCGAGGTGGCTGCGCACAAGGATTTTAATCCTGTTACTACGTGACTCCGGCGGCGGATGATGAAGATGTCAGTTGGCCGAGAACGCGTGGGAGAGCCAGCTGGATATGCCGCGCTTGGCCGGTGGGTGTTCGCACTCTCGTCGTGCGTTCTGTGCACCAAGTTTCTACCCATCTTCTTGCTCTTTCTTTCACCCTGTCCTCTCCCTTTTTCCCCTCCTCTCTTTCTTTCTCTACCTTCTCCCTTGCCATTTCTAT